GTGAGCTCACTTTGTAGTCCAGGCTGGTCTCGAACTCGCAACAATCCTCCTGCCTCAGCCTTCCAAGTCTGGGATTACAGGCGTGCACCACCATTGTTTTGTTATTTTGGGTTTTTTTTTGGTACCGAGGATCAAACTTATGACCTCACGCTTGCCAGGCAGGCGTTATACCATGAGCTATATCCCCAGCCACAGATAAGGAAGCCTAAAGAAGGAACAATTTTCAGAGGAGCTTTGGAATTTGTTTCTTACATATTAAATTTTTATTTTATTATATTTTTATTTATTTGGGCACTGGCGGTTGAGCCTGGGGCCTTGTGTGTGCTGACATGTGCTCCGCCTAGTCCTTACGTTAAAATTTTATATTCCCTCCATATTTTGTTATGTGTGGTACCAAGGGTTGAACCCGAGACCTTTCCAGTGAACTATATTTTTATAAATTTAATTTTTTTTTTTTTTTTTTTGAGACAAGGTTTCATGATGCATTTCATGCTGATCTCGAACTTGCAGATATTCTTCTGCCTCAGCCTCCAGAGTGCTGGGATTATAGGCATGCCCCAACACATATAGCTATTTTTCTCTTTTTTAAAAAAATTGACCCAAATAAATTTTCCCTTTTCAATAAATGTCCTGAAATTATGAATAATCCTCATTCAGTGACTTCTACTTTGTAAGGTTGTCTGATAGCATTCGTTACTGTTACCAATATTTGATAACTTGTAAAAGGAAAAAAAAACTATTTTTGAGATAGGGTCTTGCTATGTAGTGCAGCCTGGCCTTGAACTCACTTATGTAGCCCAGGCTGGCCTTGAATTCATGGCAGTCCTCCTGCCTCAGCCTCCCTTGTACTGGGATTTCAGGTGTACAGTACCACGCCCAGCCTATAATTATTAAAGGCAAGCAGGCTATGCAGAGTATGTTTTTTGTTTTTTTTTTTTTTTTAAATTTTTATTTTAAAGAATAAAAGAAGGATAACATAATAATAGGGGGGACTTAGCAAATTACAGACAAAATGGTAGGAAATTATCAATGGTTATCGTTTTACATATTATTATCTACAAAATAGTTTCTCAGGAAAACAAATAGACAAATAATAGTGAGTTAGAGACAAAAG